CCCTATAGAACAAAATTCGTGACACGGACGACACAATTTTCTTGAATTGGCATATTTCATCGATGGACACTTTTCAAGACAATATTCACCATCCTTCATGTTTTTACAATCATTGCACTCATCAGCACCCTGCAATACAACTTTTTATTTAGTGTTAGTGTTTGATCTATAATAGTGACACCACTAATAATAATGCAATTTGCATTCGATTGGCATAAAAATGCGAGTACACGGTACATAAAGTTGTATTAAATTATGGATCTGTCAGGCGAAATAGCTGGTCTCTATTGGTAGATTAGATAAAACGTTTTTTTTTTTGGCAACTTGAACATATTTTTTTTCAAAAATAGTAAACTGCTTATACATATATACATGTGTATGTGTCGCGTGAAACCGTATACTTGTATTATGTGGCCCCGAATGAGTATATGTATGTACGACATTAAAATATATGCAAGTCGGTTGGTATCGAATTTACTGTAGAACATGTTGAAATAGCTGCAGGCAATTTTAGCGGATTTGACTCTTAGCATGAATTAACAGAATCTTAATTTAGCTAAAGTGTCGAATATATCCCTGTGAGAATATACTTTCTGTTAAATTAGCGAAATTACAGATTAGAACATGCTAGCTACAAAGACATGTTTTACAGTAGTTCGTAATCTTCCGGATGTAAAAGTGTTGCCAGACCGGCCTAGAGATTCGCGTGTTCATTATACTGAAAACATTAGATTGGTTCGTGTAAATGTGAAATAGTGTTCTTACCGGTCCAGTACATCCATCAATACATTCATTATCACACATAACGCACTCTGTCTTGGAAACTTTGAAAAACCTGAAAACAATACCAAAATAAACAAAATTTCTAGAAATTATAGTAAGAACAGATCGAAAAACTTCTACAATAAATCTGTATTCATTACAGAACTCGCTCCAATGACATATACAGAACGGCTACTCAATACCACGTGACATCCCCCTAATAAAATAATTAATAATTAAATAATTACCCATCATCATTGTCACACGACTCTACACAGACTCCTCCCATGTTGTATTTTTTGCAACTAAAGCAATTTTCTGGACCACGCCCCCAGCAACCAACATCGGTGCATTCCATGTCACACATTTTATTTTCGTCACCTGGAAAAAATAGTTAATAAAAGCAGCAGTTATAAATTATTTGTAGTATTGCATCAAATCACTGTAATCGACATATCACGAACTGACTAAATATGGCATAAACAACAACTTACGGCAATCTCCACGTGCTTTGTTGTTACCGAGATAAATAGTCTGTGTATTTTCGTCGAGTACCAGGGAGGACAATAGTTTCTTGGACACATAGCAAAGATTCGGATTTTCTTTTACGTAGATTCCACCACTATTAACATTGTGGAGTGAGCTAAAGCCTAGGGAATGTACCTGAGTCTCGAGTACCGTCAATGCGGTCACACCACTGAAAAAAATCCAATTCCGTTGGT